TTGTGTTCTGATTTAAAATGTGGTCAAGGTTTCGTCAGGTTGATTTTGGTATATGGAAAACGAAGTCAAGTGTTGTGACGTGTTTCTATGATAAATTAATCACGAATTTACAGTTTTTGTCAGTTAAACTATGACGTGATATGAGAAAGCAATATCATTATCAATTAATTTAAATTTAAAATTGATGAGAGTTATTGTTACATGAATGCTGATTGATAGATCCAGCTCATTGGCCTGTCCAATCGAATCATTCAATTTAACTAAGGTCAAATACAGCTGTTCCTAACATAGTCACGCACAGGTTCACATGACGGGCATGGATGGCCATGGATACCGTGCAAATCGTACAATGTAATTACTTCAAACCCAAAACATTTGTCATCAGAATATTTTTACAATGCATCAATACTTTGAAACCTTTTGGAATACCCACCAATAATTTTGGATAATCGACTAGCCAATTTCATGTGTATTTTCGTGGACATTTTGCCTCAGAGCCTAAATAGGTTTCAGTGTTTCAGACAACTTGACAAAGCCAACTCATCCACCATTTATAAGTGACCACCTCACTCAACCAATTTTATTTGAACTGTTGTGTCAATTACACTCAACCAACAGGTCTATTATTGCAACATCAGTTTTTCAAATTCTGTCAAATTCAGATATTTCCTACTTAACTATTTGCAAGTAATTACTGACCATGTGTGTGATTATGAATACAATTTCACAGTTCCGAACCTCAAAGCATAAGCACACACATGACAAACCTGCCAATAAAACATGGTAGTTGTGTGCTACCTGATTGCTTTCCAAGTCATTGCCCCAATGTTACTCATTCGGTGTGAATTTATTTTGCTTTGCTACTACACCACTAGATTTTTTGTTTTAGCCATCTTACTTCAAGTAGTCAAAAACGTTGCTGGCACCATTAACAAAATAATTAATCCTTTCAAAGAATTAAAACACTACAATAAAGACTCTCCATTTTTAACATTGTACAATTCTTTCAGTATTTTGCGGTGGGGAACAAAACCTAAAAACTGCTTTTGATAAGGAAATTTATAATGAAATAATTTCACAATGTTGGAAAGGGAAAGTGTAGTGTTTCAATTACTTTCAATGATATACAATGACATTTTAAACCAAGACACCAGGCACAAATAGTAAAAAAAGGTATCTTTTCTGATGAACACAGTATCTCGGTTATCTATTTCAGTTCCAAGATTGGAGGTTAACACATATGAATAGAAAACCTGATGGTTGGAGACTTGCATTACCATGATTTGCTATTATTTGTGTTAATAGATGACTTAGAACATAGATATAGAACATTTTTTTTTAAATAGTGTACACTACTTACATCATTATCACCCTGGTCTTCCATCAACATGGTTAGCATAGAAAGTTCATCAGGCATATTGGGGTGTACCATTACCTCATTTAACATAGTTGCGTCTTGTACATACATGGGTGAGAGTCCTGATTGTGTGTCCTCATCCATATTTGATGTGCATTGTTCGTCAAGTTCGTCTAATAGAAAAATATCATATTTACATAGTAAGATTATATAGATATTTATATGCACACATAATCTATGATATGTAAAAAAGGTGAATGGAATTTGGCTGATGCTGATCTGAATCAGACATATGTGTACCTTGTTCGAATCATATATGCCTGAAATTAGTTTCTGGAGGTTTAGTTTTAGGTTTTAATATGTTTTTTTTACTAAAATGGCCGTCAGTCAGCCATCATGAATCCGAATGTGAAACAAATGTGCATGTGAGTGATATATTGCATATGTGATGTTATTTTGAGTTTCAAACATTTTGAATCGGTATAAACAACTGGGGTTTCATGATGTGGTATGTATATATCTTTATGTTTTACGTTTAGACCATGTTCAAATTAAACCAGTATATGCACGCCCGATGCTTGGTAGTGGAATGACAAGAATCTCGATTTGGTGCAATTTTCCTTGATATGTCAAATGACATCAGTGAATTCATATTGGAGATATGATTTTGGATAGGCAGTATCTTCAAAAAATGCCTGTTGACCACAGAGTAACTATGTACACATTGCCCACTGGAAACATGCTAATGAAGTTATATTATAACAACATATTTAGGTGACCAATGTCAATTTTCAGTGATTGTTGCGCAGCTGAAACCCCTAAATCGTTCGTTTAATAATTATTACCAATAGGCACTAATAATTTGAAAATGTAATTGCTGGGGTCCTGGGTCTAATCGACAAAGAGTGAAAGCTTATGATGTAAGAATGTTGTAATAGGGAAGAGGTATGGAGAGTGCGTCGAGGATTGGGTGTTAATAATACTGATATGATAAGTAGTGGGCAGAACAGAACAGAATAGAATAATAATACACTAATACTACTACTACTAATCTCAACAAATCCCAACTAATGGTACACACTGAATTAAATTCTAAGTTTATACATATATAATATTTGTCTGTTCCTTGATACATCTTTGAATATGTACAACTGTATCACTCACAGGTTCACATGGTGTTTTTTATACTATTTTATGCCTGTTTAATTAGCTTGTTATTACATATATAATTGGTGTAGTGGGTATAACATTAAATAATAGGGTGGCAGCAATCTGGTAGATATTACTTTAATAGCAGGGGTATGCTATGGAGGTATTTGAATATGATAAAATTAATTACTCCTATGTCATCAGTACTTTTTTGTCTTGTTACAATATGTGTTTGCAAATTTAAACACATCTCATTAACCATTAAGCAAAATAGGTTGGTGATCAATTTCTATTATAAACTTACAGCAATGCAGATATTGCTATGTTTTATTTCCCAAATGGACGCCAATCATTCAGACTTTAAGAACTGTGATTGAAATCTGTCCTTGTCACTGACACTCATGATCCGATTCTAGAATGACGGATTTTAACGCACTTAAGCATTCAAATGGCCGTCCCTTGAAATGTGTCTATGCAGTGTAATATATAGGTGCGGATTGTAAGTCTTTTGTAATAAAAGGAAAACATTGCGGAATTGAGATTCAAATATAAATAGCAGGCATATTATGAACACGCAACACCAGATTTGAAATCCTGACCATGGCAAAGCACCGTAATAGCCACTGTAATCATACGTGCACCACCACAGTCACCAACCCGGAAAGCCGTCTCCAATTAGCGTGTAGTGAATGCAGGCCTAGAGAGACGAGTTGGTCATGCGTGCAACAAATATCATTTACACATATGGCCGAATATTTTTGTCAGTATCAGGTATGCAGTTATGATTGCCCTTGACAACAAGTTCATGTCAATCACACGCGATAATTCACATACTAATTCACATTACATAAATATGTAATTGAATACGAGAATAAGTAATAATCAAATATTTCCCGGTTAATAGAAACGGTATGAGATCCGAGATCGTCTTTATTATATATTAGTATTAGAACAATTAAATGCCCCTCACTATACAGTGTGCTATCTTTATGGGCTTTCTGTCTGTTAGCGATGGACAAGCTTTCCGCTCATTCCCAGTTTGGCACACACTGAATTCAGTTGAACCCGTGGCGTACTTCATTACACTCATAGTGTTGTTGTCTTTCGCATCTGATGTTTGCTCGAGTTGCGTCCATGTATAGTCTCTCACTTCTGCATAACTATAAATAAATTGAACCAAAACATTTGAAGTTGACAGAATGCTCAAGTTTGATCAACATCTTCCGGAGAAGCAAGAAGGGTTCGAACAAGACTAGGCCAATACGGCAAAGAAGGTCCAAGCGCCATGCGGGCTGGTGACCTGACACAACTGTCAATGTGCAACAAGGAATTGGGAGAAGTTTTTCAAGATAACTGCCACCGTGTTAACGCATTTTATTTTCAGCAGTGAGCCTCATTTTTTCATTAAATCAGGTTATAAATATATATGGTGAAAACAAGTACCCACATTGTCAATAACTGTGGTTTTATGTGTACTTAGGCAAGTTACATTTCTCCCCCCCCATTCTCAGTAAGCTAGCTGACCCCCCTCCCCTAATGCCGCCATGAAATGTGAAATGACGTTCAAGCAGGTAGGTTGAAGAAAAAGTCCTATAGGGTTTACTATTTGGAAAAAAATCAACTCACCTATAAGGTCACAATAATCTAGTAACATCTCAATTTTTTTTTACCTGGCCATGGGTTCTTGACCTTGATAATTTAAGTTCAATAAAAGCTCGTCGAATACTACATGTACCTGTAAACGTTGAAATCCAATAGAGTTATATGGATTTTCCTTTTCGGTGGCCTTGTAATTCAAAGAGTTGCCATTTGAGAAAAAAAAAGAAATTCGAAGATCTTCTACATGTACATTTTGTGTCGCATGTATTGGTGAACATACTTGAGCTTTGAATCCTGATGAACTTGAGAATGGACTTGGCTAAAAGTGGACGTTTCTGTACTCACTAATTTATATAAACCCACCAAGTGTCATTTCAGTGGATGCTGGCGATGTAACACTAGCGTCAAACTTGTGTTTTGGGTTGCGCAATCGGTGTCAGCACTGCGCCTAAAACACTGTGTATAACTAATATAGTTCAGTGAGCATGTTAAAAGTTTATCACTTTGAAGCCACTTACCCCCCAAAATACCGATTTTAGCGTTTTTCAGCAGCCGTTTCCAGGCAACCAGTGATCGCCTAGCAGCAGTGTAACAGAACTACATCACTGTTCAAGCTTCAATAACATTGCAGAACGGTAAAGGGGGATGTGGCTGAGACAAAAGAAGGGACAAGCTTGCTCAGCGCTTGGACCAACAAAGTCGACAATGTCAGTGCATATATTGAATAATTGACGGTGAATTGCAATCTAATGTTATACTCATTAAAGTGGGGCATACCTTATCACTCGATGTGTGCAAACTATGAAAACTGGTCTTGAGTCCCACTGATTATATGATATGTAATATCGCGACTGTAACCAGATCCACTTTTGGCCTTTTGTCAGGAAACGATATGGGCATGATGTGACCTTTCCAGTCTGCATTACTGCATTCATTAAAAAAAATAATGGGTTTCGGTTGTAATAAATTAAAATAAATTAAACACACATATAAAACACAACTAGGAAAGTTGAATACTTACAGGCCTCGTGACAGCTGGAAATCTTTCCTAAATCGTCGTGATGATAGTAATCATATCCAGACGTGCCTAAAACCTCAAAAGGCATATAACCTATGATTGGCAAGGCCCTAAACATGATGTGAACAAAAACAGGAGTTATTAAAGTTACAAACCTGTCCACTACTTTACTACGTTGAATCTCCCGTAAAATGTCATATTTCACATTGAAGTCGCACTTAAGGATAGTAGAAATTGCAAAATTAGCCTATAGACATCAAATGCTAACTCACGATTATAAATCTATGGTAATACAACATCTTACCTGGGATCTAGAAGTATGAAATTCCACTCCAAGTTATGTCGTGAGACAAATTCACTCCCTCTGTCATATATCGGTGCACCGAGATGATTGTTCTGTAATCGAACTAATGCAACAATAATGTTGCCTTTGTCACTATCTCGGCACAAGCCTGGTAAGAACGGATACAAGAATAAATTAGTTTTTTCACATAGACGATTTATTTTTTCAAGATGGTAATATCTGATTGTTGGCGAGAAAGTAAATCCTCATCACCGTATTCAAGTCGGTTAATATAATGCGTTCCAATTAGTTTCATTATATTATTGTACGAATCTGATTGCATCGAGTTATAAAGTTAATATTTATACTCACTATCCGTCTTTACACTGAAATTCCCGTTCATGTTAACCGGTTCATACTCGGGGATTTGATTTGAACTATGGGATCCTTTTAACATATTGCATGTACACTCAAACTTTTTGTACACGTCACTTCTTCCACTATCAGTAAACAACAGATTTGCATGGGCGAGAATCTTGTAAATCTCTGGGCGATCTTTCTCATGTATGAGATCGTAGATGGTACTATTTCTGTAATCGGTCTGTACAAAGAAACATGTTTTTATCGTGATTATGATTAAAACAGCATTTTACGAATAGCGTTGCAGTAGCTCAACTTCGACAAGCAACTTGTTGCTGTTGGAAATCATTAGTAAATATTCAGGCAGAATAAGTGCGTTTAATAGAGCCGGTATTTACATAGCGCTATAAGTATTTAAAAAAGAAACCAAGGTGTAAATTAGCCAATATAAGTAGCTACCATAATGGCATTCTACATAACAAATGTTCGAATGTGGAAATAGAAACTTCGTTTGTTGTTGAACGGATCATTAAATGAGACGAAAAATAAGCAACACAGCAATGTATTCGATTTTACAACTCTGCATTACGAATCAAGCTCCGGTTTCGATATTTTGTTTTTTGGGACTGCTTTAAAAACAAAAGAATATAATAGTGTTTTGCCTATTTTCTCAAAGTATTGTATCGAATAGCACATTGTTGTTATATGTTACCATGAAACCACCATTACCCATTGTGCATAGTAACCCAATAAACAGCAATGACATGCATTGTATCAACAACCTTCTCAACAATTATGAGTAGTACTATAGGCTTCTACCTTAATTCGTAATGAGACCTGATTATAATCTAGTCTGAATCTAGCCATCTGATTGGCTAAAGCAAGGTTTTATATCTGGCGATAAAAAAACAGCGTTTGTGTTCTGTAACTGAATTAAATGTCCTATATATATCTATAAGTATCTAATTAAATAGTAAGGTCAAATTAAAATGATTATAATAATGGTAATTTCGCAAAAAATTCCTCGAAAGGAATGTGAGTGGTCTTTGATGCATACCGTACAAATCACACATAAGATTATCGAACCGTCCGTCGTGGCAACTTGCGTCTGTTTCGTGAATCGACGTTCAAATGCCAAGATTCAGAATTACAAACATAAATAATTTGTTTTCTTTTTTCCCGTTATGTGCGGAATCAAAGTATCTCTTATGCTCGGTCATTATATTTCGCCAAATATGCTAATTTTTAGCCAGGGCAAATTATGTCTTATAAATTATGCTCCTTGCTTTCTGTACGACGGTGATGACACCTGTCTAGAACACAACGCTCTTCCAGATCTAGTTTTATTCTACGTATACAATTTCATCTGTTATAATTAATGTCTTATACTCACCGGAAGTAGACCAAGTAAATTCGTAATGCTATCAGACGCATATACTATGCGACCTTGATCGGACATACATAAAATGAAGCCGTCCGATGACTCTAGAATAAGTTCACCAAATTCGTCATCAGAAAGAAATGGTGGTTTCCATTTCTCATCTATGTCTCCTTGAGGTGTATGTACAACTACTTCTGAAATGAAGACGTCCGAGAGAATCTTTCGTGAATTCTTTATTAAGTGACACATATATTACACGATAACCGTTATTCAAATTTCCACAATATTTTTGTATTAAATAAATCAAAAGCAATAACATGACTGTTGACTATAACGTGATCGATATCTTTATAATGGTAGAAAAACTGTATTTTAAATGTAAGGCTCTTTTATTTCGAATGTAAAATGTCAGGATAGCAGTCTCGCCGTTTCATAAAAGTCATTTGAAGTTTATTGTAATGAAGCATTCATTAATTATGCAAATCAACAGACAATGAACCTTAACCCCCTTATGGTTCTTTAGCATGCATCGATGAAGCAACATTAAGGTAAGGTGTATAGTCACACCATTCTCCCAATGTATTCTAGTGTGCACTGCTGAGTGGGCAAGGGGGGGGGGGTCCACAAACATAAACTTCCTACTGCCCGGTGAACAAACTAACCGTTGCACCACGTTAAGGTTTATACAGTGACGCGCACTTACAACACCACGATAAAGATTTTCCGTTTTCCGACATTGTGCAATTCAAAACAACTGATTTTGACAAAAAAATCAGAAATATGTTAAGAATAATTCATAAAAAAATGTATTCCATATATACAACAATTATAATTTTCATAATTACCGATTACACAATAATATTACAGAAACAAATAGTTTGCTATATTATCTATATTTTTGTATTTTATTTGTTTAGAATTATGAAAATGTGTCCAACAACTCATGAATAATAACTTTAATAAATATGATTTTATTTGATACAAATACTGTATTTTTGCATAAAAACAAAAGAATGTCAGTATGTCGAAAACAGAAAGTTGTTATCGTTATCGTAATGTTATTTTCACACAATTGTATTACATTATTTACTGTCAAATATTTTATTTTAACTGGTATAAAAACATTTTGGGTGTTTTGTATTTAATTTAATTTTCACTGATTTTTTAATGTAAACTATATGAACAAAGGAATATTCGTTGGATTTTAGTATCACTGAATTATTCCTTCAGCAAAAATCAATTTCAAGCGAAAAAAATTGTTTACAGTACCTCCGAAATTGGTTAAAGCTGTGTGAGTTGTTTACTTCTAAATTTGCTAAGAGTATGAATTATATAGACGGATCACAAATGATATTGATGCGTCGTGCGTATGACGGGAACACTGCCTAATATGTAACACTATGTAAACAAATCGCAGTTACCGTTATGATGTTTGAGAAATGCGATGGTTGCTTTAAGTACGGCAGATTTGTCCATCTTCTTTGAATCTGCAGACACCATTACACATAGCTCATCAATGAGCACGTTGAATTGGTCACGTCTCTTCTTTTCGTTGGCGTTTCGTATTTTCCTGTGAGGAGAAAACAACAGGCAGGATGTTTTGAAAACGGGAGGGTCGTTACCTGCGCACGCGCGAGAATTGAATCCCAAGCGATGATTAGTCCAGTCATTCTAGCAAAAAAAGGGGGCCAACCCGTCACAAATTGCAACAGAAATAATTTCTTCACAGTGCTTTTCGGAAAGGTATCTAGATTGACATACTAAAAGTCTAGGAAAATATAGGCTTCCGAAATATACCTAATTTGCATATATTCAAAATGACCGTTTTGCACATTTTTACAACATGGAAATATAACTATCTGGACATATCTTTAATTCTAGATGAGGTATTCAAAAAAATACAGGATGCTATGGTACTGTTTTGAGTTGGAGAAGGTATGAGAGTGTCAAATGTGTTGATTAGGTAGATGAAAATTTGCATAAATCCAATATGGCCGCGATAATATAATTATTTAATGTAACTTCACTTCCGGCTTCTCTTTTATGTGGCATAAGTAATAAGTTTAAGATGCTAGAATACAATTTTAAACAGAATCATACAGTACAGAAAAGATGTAAATAAATGGTTTCCTGGGTAGACGGATGCTTCATCTGCATAAATCCAACATGGCCGTCATATCTAAAAGAAAAACTAGAGGTATGAAACACCCTGGTTGGATCTACAAATCTGCTATACTATAAATATACGTAAATTTTCAACTCTATAAACTATTTTTGATTTAACAAACTGTATTAAATAGTTTTTTTCCAAAAGTGTATTGTTTGATTAATGTAATTGCTAATCGTCATCGCTATCTTCATCAGATATCTGAACTACATTTGTGTATCCAGATTCTTGACATTGACCACAAACTGCAGTACATTCAAA